TGTGTGTGTGTGTGTGTGTATATATATATATATATATATATATTCTGTCTTTAGAGAAGTGACCCTGAGTGCTGGAGAAACAGATATGAGAAAGTATGAGTCTGCAGCTGAATGTCTGACTCGTGTCTCTCTCTCTCTGTTTCAGTCTCTGTAAATCTCTATATATCATGATTTCTGTTCTCCAGTTTTGTTTCCTGTATTCATTATTGAGGAGGTCTGTATTGACCTCTGTAATAACATTGACAAACCTTTGTGTGTGTGTGTGTGTGTGTGTGTGTGTGTGTGTAGAAACTGCATTGCGTCCAGAGATCCATACTGCGGCTGGACCAGAGGAAGTACCTGCTCACTCCTGAGACCAGGCACCAGGTTAGTTAGAAATTCAGAAACATACTCTACACAAATATGAATATATCTGCCCCATTGGGCCTACTGAGCATGGCTTCAAAACTCAATTCAACGAGGCAGTCGAGTCACCCTCAAATTCTGGCCATTAAAGGTGAAATGTTACATTTCTGTGCCACTAATGAAAATGTTTTACATAGGTTTCCTAAACATTCAGCACACTCTTCCAGTAACATTAATAGAAAGTTCATTCAGAGTTATTTGGACTTTAATAATGTTCTCAAAATGTTACCACAAAAAAATTACTTTTCATTCATTCAACTTTGCGTTATTCAGAAATAATATTCATAGATCATTCAAACAACGTTTTCATAACTTAATTGGAAAACAAATATCCCAATTAGAACATAAGTTCTACAGTTCTACATATGCATATTCCTAAATAAAAGTAATTTAATATAAACAAAAATATACTGTTCACCTTTAAACCAGATGTATTATTATTCAGGTAGCTTGGTAAACATGACAGTTAAAAGTTTTTGTCTGCCATGACAGTCATTGATCTAAAAAAGAAAACCGACAGTCGAATGTGTTTTGAATTGTGTTCGGACACATTTCTAAAAGCAATGACGCATGAAATTGAGTTCTCAAAACTAAAAGCGTTTGCATTCGCTTACTTGCATAGAATGTGTGTCGTGTATCTAATCTGTGAATTTGCGGTTTATGTTCAAATCCGTTTTTCTCCTGTTTTGCAGATTACCTTTCGTGCAGGATGTTGAATATGGAAACACCTCACATCTTGGAGACTGCGACGGTGAGTTTGTGAACCTGTTGGGATGTGACCTTTAGCTTCCCGGTCTACCTTCAGCACGTCTCTCCTTCCTCGAGAGAATCCTCTAGCAACTCTTCAACAATACAGAAAAGATCCAGTCTGGCCTGATTCGAAAGTTTTGCTTAAGCAGACAAAGTCACGAGAAAGTCGCAGGTTGCATCGGGAGATATGGAGAAAGATAATGAAAGAGAAACAGAGCCTTGAGTCTTTTCTTTTTAGAAATTAATTGATTTCTTTAAAGTGCGAGGTGTCTGGGTGCAAGTTAGCGACAGTGTTTACATTGTTAAAAAGACAAAAGATGGTTTATATTTCCAAACAATCAGAAGCTTAGATTCGCTTTCCGCTCTTAATGGCATTTTGCGAATCTGGCAGCATATGAAACACTCTGTCAATCTCTCCAGTTTTCATGGCTCAAAACGCTTAAATTTGTTCCAAAGTTCAGATTTAGCAGAATGTGGAACAGCAGTGAGGTTCTCAAGTCTCAACTTCAAGAGCTCTTGAACATAATAGATTGCCACGGAGACTCAGACAGAAGAAGTTATATATCACTGCAGCCGTATAGATTCAGCTGAGTCACATAAAAGAGGGAGCGAGAGAGCACAGAATGAAATCAAAATAAAGTTCAATGGCCTAGTAAGTTTGTACTTTCAAGGAATCTGTTTCTGTGAAATAGTTTCAAAATAAAAGTGGTGAACAGCAGCAGAATACGGGTGTCCTGTTTGGATTGCTAATCTTGGCACAGTTTGATTAAGGAAAAGAATGATGGCTACTTTCTATGACTTCTTAAAGTGACTTTCTGAAGCTTTTATAGGAGACGCAACTGAATTTTGAGAGCGCATTTGGGTTGATATGTGCTGTTTGAATGGAGTTGCAGTCAACAACTTGCTCCATTAGCGTAAAACAGTGTTTTTTTGCAGCAG